CTTCTTCTCTCTCTTCTTCTTCTTCCTCCTCTCTCTCTCTCTCTCTCTCGCGCGCGCGCGCGCGCGCGCGCGCCTACGCACTTACTTTTTTTTAATGATAAATCCTCTTCCGATTAACATTCCGTTTACGTAATGTCCGTTCTTCCAGCTACTTTGAGTTTTGCGCGTTTCGCATTTCCGCACGCGTAATAACAGATCGCACACGGTCGGAAACACAAGCGACGACGTGTATATCTGCGCGCTGTTCTATATCTTTTTAGCGAGATCGATTAAGCGTTAGCTTCAACACTTTCGCGCGCCTGCCACGCGTCGCGTTACGCGTTGACATCCCGGTGTCCGCGTGTAACAGATTGCCGATGGGAACGGAGTTACATAATCAAGGGGGGGAATGGAAAGGGGAAGAATGTTGACCTATTATCGTTTTTTCTCTTTTTACGCGACTCCGATCGAAGAGCGATCTCCCCGTATCGAAATGCGCGAACTATTGAAATGCAAAGAGAGAGAGAGAGAGAGAGAGAGATTTTTTAATTAGCAAAATGCATGGCGACAGACGCGTTCGGCGAAAATTAGCATCGTTCGAAACTCATGCGTGATTATTATTCTTTCTCTTTTCGCGCTCGTTCCCGCGCTCTCCCTCCAACCCCCTTCCCCCTTTTTTTTCTTTTCCGCTGCAGAACCGCGATATTAGCATGCATCTTGCGCGGATCTTTCAGGATAATCTCTTCCCCATCTCCTTCCTAAATCCGACGAAATTCGTACGACGCGTATGAATATCCTTCCCCCCTTCCCCCTCCTTTCCTTCCTCCTATCAGGTGGAGCAGCGTTCTTTTAAACTGCGGCGGTCTTCTCGGATCGGTGAGAATAGATTTCGGAATGGAAACGTCAGGCTTCAATAGCCTCTTTTGAATAGGATTAACGACTCAAGGTGAAGCATCTCTCGTGAATTTGAGAGAAGATCGTATGAAGAGAAGAAAAAAAGATCTTGTTTTTGCAGCCGCAAATCTTGAACGGTCTTTAGCCTGTTATATGAAGCGATTTATCTCTCTTTCTCTCTCCCTCTTTGCTTCCTCTTTCTCCCCCCCCCCTCTCCCCTCCCCTCCTCTCCTTCTCTTTTCTATTGCAGCGAATTTATGAAAATCAAGAAATCGATTTGCCTTGTTTTGTCCACTTCGCGGCAAAGAGAACTCGGATCGACTGAGTAAAAAAAATCGATGCGATTGAAAAGACGACCGGGGATGACTTTTGGACAGACTCGTAGACGACGTCGTTTTGGCCTTCGCGACCATCCAGCATCCGTTCTTCTTTTTGTTTACGTATACAGACACGGAGGCGTCTGGCTGCTAAATGGATCGCGTAAATGGAAGTTTCCGCGATTTAATCTCTCCCCCTTCCCTCCCCCTTTTTTTTCTTCCCTCGGTCGACGCGCTAACGCGACGCGTTGTGGCGTGACCGTTAACTTTCTCCTTCCGACGGGATCGCTTTTCATTTCGGGAAATAACCCGTGCGAGCGACGACTTTCGCACGTGTTCTCCTCCACCTTGCGACGCCGCGCGTAAAGGGTGTTTTCGAACGGCGTCGCTTGGTATGCATTAAATCGCATTAAAATCTAATGTATATTTGCGCCCGTAACGGGGCACTTTGAAATTGCTTTCTTGAAACGTGTCATCAGTTGGAAATTCTGCCTTGTTACATCGCCCGGCGTCGAATTTAAGAAACTCTAACAAGAAAATTTATGTTATCGCCCTTATTACATTTCTTTTTTCCTTTTTCTTTTTTCTTTCTTTTTTTTTTTAACTTTTTTCGTCGCCTTGTTTTTTTTCGTTATCCCCCGATTCCCCGTTTAACTGAAAAAGTAAAATTACAGTCTTCGGTTCAATTTTACTCTGTCGCGATGCCTTTCGACTAAACTTAGCGGATTGTTAGTCAGATTGAGATCAGCCCAGAAAAGCTGCTGAATGCCGGCAAATATTTTTCCTCGTCGCTTTGTATGGCGTGTTATCTATATCTGCTTTTTCAAAAAATGTTTAGAACGCAAGAATCCTTGACATATATTTCTATAATTAACTCTATCAGTGCTATATATCAATTGTTGTTTAACCGTTTATGTAACAGTTTGCGGCTAATGAATATTTAATTAATCGAGAGTTTCGAACATCTGATATGATTTTTTTATTAAACATATCGTTTCTGATTATTACGTAAACTCTTAATTTTTATCTTTTTATCTTTATCCATTTAATTTAAAACTCTTTATCTTAATTTAAACTCTTGATTTTTATATTAGTTTACTTATAAAATCGAGAACATGTTTAATTTTAAATTAAAATTAGGAATTGTTGAATATATCACCAGGTTGTGAGTTTTAGTTATGTAATAATGTTTTTTTATCCTTAAAGAAAAAAAAATGTTAACTTGTATATTCATCTACAGGAAATAGAATAATAATTTTTTATTATAAAGTTCCCATTATGTTATTAAATAGTTGTGCATTTAAATTGTTCTCTTTGCTTTATATATTTTGAAGCACTAGAAATCCGTTCCTCGAAACACTAGAAAATAAAATATAAAATTTATGCAAACCAACTTTTTTAAATAATATTTTTTTTTATGATTTAAAACATATTTATCACAACGTTTCGAATTAATATATGTTAATTGCGTGATAAAATTAATTTTATGCCCAAGGACCTGAGCGCAAAATTAATTATAATCTGAATGATCTTCGCTGCTAATAAAAAGAAACAGTCCCGCGAATAATTAAATAATAGCTAGAGAAAAACGAAAGAATAACGAAATAACACTACGCAGCTTCTAATGTAACTAAATAAATTTGTTTTCGAAATGATTGTGCTTAAACATGATATTTCCTTTTTGTTTAGGGGAGCATTCTCCGAAGTGAGGCTGGCGGAGAGTAAAGAGAAGCCGGGTCAAATGTTTGCCGTGAAGATCATCGACAAGAAGGCGCTAAAGGGCAAGGAAGATTCGCTAGAGAACGAAATCAAAGTTCTACGAAGGTAGGGCGCAAAGCGATTCTGAGAGCTGGGACACGCGTAGAAAAAGAAAAAAAGAAAATTCTTTTCCCTTTGCCAGTAAACATCTTTTATTTGCGGTAACATAGTTGGCCCTTATATACCTTAGGTATTTGGAAAGCCGATGAACAATTCGAGAGTAATTCGAGTGCCAGTTCTATTATCGCTGGAATCGACTCCGATATACTTATACGCATGCCCCTCTCTCTCCCTAATAAAAAACACTCTTCTCACCCCCGTAAGGATCACGTTATTTTCCCCGAGTATCGTATCCCCTCGTAGAGCTTTTTGAGTATATCAGATAGATTCATATCCCATTGGCATCGCAAGCGTAAAGCTGAAGTGGTATCACCGAGCCCTCGCTTTCTTGGAAAATATATTGTATTATATTTTAAGAAACCTTTGCTTTCTTGGAAATTATATTGTATTTTGCGATCCGATGTAAGTCGTTCGAGCTGCTCCTTCATCGAAAGAGTAGATAACACGAGCATTAATATCCATAAGCTAAATCCCGATCACTGTGCTTTTCTCACTTGTACGATGTTACCATGGCGCTAATAAAATGGCTCGTACAACAACAATAACATCTCGGAGGGATCTCTTTCGTTTTTCGAGGAGCGCTGCGATGTGGCATTTGGAGTGAGCTCTGATGGCTGTCGTTTGTCCCTCTGTTATCCTTAATGTGGTATGCAAATAATGTGCACACAAGCTACACGTTGTGCTCTCGACGCTGTTAAACGTACCTCCAGACACAGAGCAGATTCGGCTCTCGAACTTCCATTGTGATTCCTCTGTCCTGGATACATGTATCTCTTCTCCTGGATATATATATATATATATATATATGTAACGTCTCTTCTTTTTCTTTGTTTCTTTTCTTTTCTTTCTTTTTTTTTTTTAACTACTTTGGCTGAATACTTACGTGTTAAAGTGGAACTTTTTTGGATGTTCTATTAGCATTGAGCGCCTTTCTGTCGTCCTGCTCTATCTCTCACTGCGACTTACATGCCAGCTACTAAATCGAGGCACGCTAAAAAATTAACAAGTAACTTACAAAAACGATCGATACTTGAGAATCCTTGTTGTGTATCGTTATATTATCATTTATCGATCAGCGCTGCAGGAGCTGCGGGGTGCTACGTGTCATACATACATCGTACATCGTACACGACGACGAGACACGTCGCTCCGGGTTTTACTAACTGAAAACTCGTTCCATACTATCGTGATGAAACACACATCGCATCGCGACGTCACCAAATATGCATACATCGCGCCGGCAAGGTTGACTTTAATGTATCCGCTTGAACAAACGGATGTAAAACCTGCATCAAAAATTTAATTAATATGAAAATAAACGTCTCCGCTCGGGAGAGGAGGGGGAGGGGAGGAGGGGGAACTCGCGTACTACGTCTCGAGCTTTACGAAAAGGGTGCTGCAATGCATAACGTGAAAAATTCAACGGCATCGATCACACTACTGTCGCCGATGTAGATGTGTCTTAAGTGGCTAGATACATCTGTCTCATGTCGCCGCACTACACGGCGCGCGCGCGCGCGCGCACACACACACACACACACACACACACACACACACACACATATATATACACTAATTTCCTCCGTTGCACCTCGTGTGTTTGTGACTACACGTACGTACACACGATTTACACACGAATCTCCATCTCTCGCTGCCATCACCGCTATGGTGAAACGGGACGCTCGCGCGGCAAAAGAATGGTGTAGAGTCAGAGAGAGAAACCACGAAAGCACGATCGCAAGCGACCAGCCGCTCCCGACATGTACAACATTATGTAATTGTGTATTTGGTATTTTTTATTATACTTCGTAGGTTCAGCGAAAGTGCGACACCACAGAGTGGTGGCGGATCGCTCAAGTCGGATAGTAGTGGCGAAAAGAGATGGTAAGTGCGGGCCGTACCCAGGGTATGGGGTATATCAGCTACCTATACCGCTCTCAGTATATAAACTGTACTCACTCGACGATATGCCATGTACATTTTTACATTTCAGATCTTTTTTCTTTTTTTTTCTGCGTATCGTGTTACACGTATTTGGAAACACATTTGGTGCACGACTTGTGCACGTACATCGGCACAATTGAACACAGTTTTGGTATCCCTTGATACTTGCCACCCGAGCAGACGAAGGGAGAAATTGCACGTCTCACGCAGGTCTCTTTCTCTCTCTTGGATAAATAATTTCGCACGGAAGGGATAGATAATGTGTCGCCGCGAAGCGCCCCCGCGGAATGCCGTTTTTATCCGCGCGCCGACATAAATCGGGTAATAGGTAACACCTCGCGGAATTTTTTCCTCCCCTCCTCCCCTCCCCCCCCCCGTGCGAAAAAAATTATCCCCGAGAGAGAAAACGCGGGACGAGGCGCGACGGCGCTTCTTTCACCTCACCTGCACCGCCAATTTCCGCGTGTCAGCTTTACTACAATCACGTGTCCCGTAATAAAAGTGAATGACTTTTCGAGTGAGAAGCACGATGTAAAGTGGCGATAAGGTAAATTTTACTTTAGATAGATGTTGGTCTCTCACTCGACTTTATCATTTCGACGACAGCCGTTAGATAATATCCGCTCTAATCACCGAGAAGTGAAATCTGATTTCCCGCGATAAGAATCGCGAAATGATTTGATCATTATCTTGTAGCGCCGGTATTTAGATAAAGTTCATTCAGAGAATGAAGCGATAGTACGACTACAAGTGAGTGTATCGGTAACGGAAAAGATATTATTCATATTGGCGGCATGACGGCGCAATTTACGGGAAAACATACATTTATCATACGCAGGCAGCCAGAGAAAAACTTTAAATTTGTTTTGATTATACTTTCAAATTTCGTTTGTATATTCTGCATACAATTTTTGTTTTATTAACGATATAAAAAAGTCACGCGACGAAACGAAATTTCTGGAAAGAAAAAAAAAAAATTTGTACGCGGATGAAAAATATGATGGTATATTTTACTTTCTTAGATTTTAGACAATCCAAAACTGTGTTATTTTATGTACATCGTAAAACGATACGCGTTTTATTATTACAATCCAACATGTATCGTGTTGTGTAAAAAAGAAAAATGGAAAAATGTTCTGATTATCGTCAACAATCACCTCATAAATATCGATCGTTTTTCATTATTTAGAATAAAAAAAAAAAAGAAAAATTTATTCGCCTACACGCGGTGATTAATAATGTGTGGAATAAATTAAGAGAAAGCGTGACGTTCGTAATTTTTTATCGAGAAGAACCGGCAAGACGAATTGATTTGATTCTTTCAGCTCTTGAAAACAATATATCGCATATTCGCTTTTCTATCTTCATTGATTAGTCATCGCCTGTTGAATCGAGAGAACTTTTTTTTTTTTTTTTTTTTGCCCCATCGACATTAACATTAAAATTATGAGCACGAAAACAACTGCTATCGGAAACTTACCGTGATTGTATAAATTTAACTGTGTAGGCGGTGTAAAGAAGATCTTGTACAGTTTCCACGTACATTTACAATACTCGATATCTAAACGTGTATCATCAGGAGGTCTTTGTCGTTTTAGGTAGAAACTGCAAGTAGATCACTATACATAAATCAGGATAAACACGTCGAGGCGGAAAAACCGTCTTACATAATAACATAAATGCTTCACGCTGCTCTTTGCGAAAGAGAAGAGAAAAACTTGCACATATCCACGCTGATTCATACACTCGATACTACGATGCTGTTCTTAGTGACTCGATACGCGACAGATTTGATCAATTAAGGAAGCTCGATCGTATCTTAACGAGCTAGCTGTTTAATGAACACAATTTTCTCAAGGTAATATAACATGAAATATGTACAAGAGATAATGAAGTAATTATTTGAGCTTTTACGAGAAAACAATGTGGGATAAATCAAGTTTGAGCGAAAATTGCTGCCTGTGTAGAGTCATTAAGAGATAATTGCGATCTAGAGAGAGAGAGAGAGGAGGGGAGGGAGAAAATCTCTCTTTTTTTCCTCACATTCTGTATTTATTACGTGTTAAACTGTGTTATCACGTTATTTGGCTCGCCATTTGACACTTTTATTTATTTCCGACTCGTTGCGAGTAGTTTTAATGAGCGATCCCTTGATATTCTCCATACAAAATCCTTGTACATATTTAGTAGATATTGCTTTGTTGCTATTGAGTAATATTCTGTAAACTAGTTATCTCTTTCTACGTGGAAGTGATTGTCTCTCTATTTAATTAACGATCTGTGTGCCAAGTTATAATATATATGATCTAGTAAAATTGGAGCATGTTTCATTAATTATATTATTGCAGTTGCAATTAACATCGAGCTAATTTTGCATTGCTACTTAGCGTGTTATTTATCGTGTACGAGTTTATTACAATTTTATTATTTTGCGAGTTTCAAGATTGTTAATTACACATGTATAACGTGCAAATATTGACTACAATTCGGTCGGGGTACATTAGCGAATGTATTTACCTAATAAATTAGTTATTCGAATAATGTATGTTTGAAATAGCGTTGTATAGCTTCATAGCCATATCTTGGAAAAAAAGGAATTAGTGTTCGATATTTTGATCAATTTTCATGCAAAAAGGACCTCGATTCTTTTTCCAATTAAAATTTTATCAAACTAATTCGAGCTCTTATCGTCAAATTACAATTTTTGCATGTCGGTCCTTCAAGACGTAAAGGCAAATACATAATGTTTGCCAAATGAAACATCGATATCTGTAATGTTGATTACATTGCCAAATTCCTGTTGTAACAGCAGAAAGTAAAGTAAACTCGATACTCGACAAGGCTGACTTATACTCTACTTATCATACTGCGCGAAGATAATATATACGGACATAATTAAAAAAAAAAAAAAAAAAAGAAGAATCATCGAGTCAATTCTCTCGTTGTCTCTCCATGCGTGGTGGTGCACAATGGCTTTAAATTAGAGGAAGAAAACACGACGTTGTTCCAGGCTAACCCACCCCAATATCGTTCAATTGCTGGAGACGTACGAGGACAAGCACAAAGTCTATTTGGTCATGGAGCTGTGAGTAATAATGCGTATATCTTCTATCCTCCTTTAACGTAATGGTGCCGAGGGCTGAGATTGAGAAAGTGAACATTCCGAATTACATCAGGGTTACCGGCGGAGAGCTATTCGACAGGATCGTCGAGAAGGGCTCGTACACAGAGAAGGACGCGTCCGGCTTAATAAGGCAGGTGCTCGAGGCGGTGGACTACATGCACGATCAGGGTGTAGTTCACAGAGATCTCAAGCCGGAGAATCTCCTTTATTACAGTCCGGACGAGGACAGCAAGATCATGATCAGCGACTTCGGCCTATCGAAGATGGAAGATTCCGGGATCATGGCGACCGCTTGCGGCACGCCGGGATATGTCGGTGAGTTTTTTTTTTTTTTTTTTATTAGCTGGGAAAGGGAGAAAGGAAAAAAATAGACGGGTTTCAAGCATCGACGATCAAACGATTTACTATTTCAAAACCCCATTTCGATGATCCGCAGCACCCGAGGTTCTGGCGCAGAAGCCGTATGGCAAAGCGGTCGACGTGTGGAGCATAGGCGTCATCTCGTATATCCTTCTGTGCGGATATCCCCCGTTTTACGACGAGAACGACGCCAATCTGTTTGCACAAATTTTGCGAGGTAAGGCGAAATGAACTTGTTGGGCAGCGTTTTTTTCCGCATTCCGCATTCCGATAAGGTCTAATGCGGCGTTAATGCGGTCTAGTCGCCACTTTTATGATCGATAGTCACGTACGAGAGAGGCCTCGCACGAGAGACAAACTATTAATTGGATTCGTAAAATAGTACATCACTTTCAAATTTTACGTTTTTGTCATTTTGAACTAGATACTTTTGCATTTTTTTTGCCTATGACACGCGTTGATAAAAAAAATTATATAACATTGACAAATTTGAAATTGCATTATCAAGATGGAAGAAAAAAAAGTCATATTATATAGTAATATCTTTATCAGTTTGATTTTCTGCAGTCATATAAAATTTATATGCCTTTTTTCCATGAGCTGGTCGAAATTATTTTAACTATAAATTATATTCCCTTTAACAAAGAGGGCTGACTAAATTGTTGCAGGTGAATTTGAATTTGATTCGCCATACTGGGACGATATCAGCGCTTCTGCGAAGGATTTCATTGGAAAGTTGATGTGCGTCAATGTCGAGGAACGTTATACCTGTAAACAGGCCCTCGCACATCCCTGGTAAGGATTTTTAGAACATCGTCAGAATGAAGATTACTGAAAGGCTTTACTTTGCATATTTGCATATTAATGTGGCAGTAATAACACGAAAAATTTGTAACAGCCGAGTTATTTTGCAAACATGTAACAGCAAGGGTATGCAACGAAAGCTTAAAAATATAAACTTTAATGTACAAAAGTTGCATAGATATTACAAGAACAAATTTGTTCGTAAAATATGATATGTATTAAGTAAGTAGATGATACATATTTTCTGATTTGTATGTGTTAAAGTCATCATTGTGTGTGTTAAAGAGATTCAGTAATTTAATAATCATTATTACTAATGAATTAATTAAGCTTTATACTTTAATAATTATTATATATCGTTTAATGAGATATGAACTTATTGATAGCTAAAAATTTAAAAATAAAAATTCAATATCAAAATTCATCACGCGATATCTTTTCATTTGTTTTTTTTTATACTTGTCTTTTTTTTCTCGTTCATTATACTAATCACTTATGCGTAATACAATTAAATTGAATAATCATAGCATGAACGAGACGTAATACGGCATTAATATTTTTCCAGGATTTCCGGCAACGCTGCTAGTAATAAAAACATCCACGGTACTGTATCCGAACAACTTAAAAAGAATTTTGCCAAGTCGAGATGGAAGGTTGGTATCGCCGATTGATCACTATATCATTAATCCATGTGTCTTTGCCCACCAGAAGCCATAGGAATATCTCCTTATCTCATGATTGCAGCAAGCGTACCACGCAGCCACGGTCATACGTCAGATGCAACGGTTAGCACTAAACAGTGGCCAGCAGCAGCAGCAGGAGGATACAGGCTCGATCGGCCCCTCCAGCGGCAATCCCACGCAATATCGAGAGCAATCGCAGATCAGCTACAACCAGCACACGGGGCCGCTGGGGCCGTCGCCAGCCTCGAGCAATCTCAGCAATTGAAGCAGACGCGCGAGCAGACATCGCCGTTGCTCACTGTGTCGAGTCACTGGTGTTTACGAATCTCACTTCTCACTCCATTCCAATCACTCCCGCCGACCACTTGCCACCGCTATACATGCGCAACAAATGCTTCAAGCTGTGGGGACAGCACACGCACCGTTCTGTCCATTCTCTCTTTCAAGACATTGTGTTGCAACTTAGGAAGCAACGGAAGACATAAGAAGAGCTGAGAAGCCATTGCTAGAGTTACGCGCGTCCGCACACGGAGGAGCAATGTATCACGCGAGATAGCCGTTCGCTCTCGAGCTACGGGGATAGATTAGAGCCAATTTGCTTCGCGCAAGTGATGCGTACATACACACACTTACATAGGCACGTACATGTACACGCAGAAATACAGTTACCATCGAAAGGCGTAAACTACAATTCGCTTTGGCTGGCCCATGCGATACAATACATGCGAACTCGTACCCTCTTCTATGGCAGTACGGCAGTTACGTTTGCAGGCTTTATTCTTATGATTTACGACGTTTCCTATGTTACATACGCGTAAGCAATAGCTCGTAGCGATTTGCAGAATACGTTTCGCATCGATCTAACAGGGCAAAGAGGCGGTTACATCTCTAGAGATAAGACTTGAAGATTGTTTGCACGCACTTTGTTAGATCGAGTCCATTCTATATATATAAATATATATATATGTATACATATAAATATATGCATTAACGCGAAACAGTACAACGACAAGTTTTTATATTTTATAAAATTCGGTGTAATACGTAGCGCGGCTGTTTGATACAATTCTGTGCAGTATAGAGACCTGTATTGTTAGACACGGACAAATATGATTCCATATCACGGTTCCTATGTATGGTTCGATCCTCGCTCGCCGTAATATATATCTCGGAACGATAGAGAATATTTCCTATCTACTTACAAAAGTCGAATTTACTTTCCAGTCGCAAGAATCTATTACCAAAACGCAGATAATATCGAGAGGTCGCTTAATGCACAGAGACATAGCCTGATCTGTTTCTTTCTCTCTCTTTTTATTTCTTTTTTTTTGCATTTTTTTTGCGCATGTTTCTATACTTTTTTTTTGATAACCGGGACATGCCCTTGCTTATGTAAATGCTTACGCAGCAGACACTTATCAATGCTATTTTATGTAATACGTACCCTATATGTATACTCTTCTCTTTTAATATATATGTAGTGATATTACTATATTAATATAAGCTCCCGAATCGGGTTCCGCTGAGCTAGCTTGACATCTAGAAAGACATATATGTATTATTCTGCTAATATTAATACATATATTGCACCACTACTTCTATTTCTACAAAACATAAGATGTACATAATGCACATCTAAATTCGCATAAACTATCTTGCGTGCCTGATTTTAAGATACTGACATGAGGAACAATTCTGTAAAGTTAAGTATCATAGCATGATCGTGATTATTTTCATAAAGGTTTCTTATATTAGTGCGCTATTTTATGCCACGATTTGGCGGATTATACTATGACATTTTTAGCAATGGTTTATGTATAGTTTATACATATATATTTTATTTTTACAATTACTTTTTTATTAATGAAAATGCCATATGTAAAAAGGGATAGTAAATTTTTTTTTAATACTGGAATGTGCCATATACATTATTGTACGATAAAAGCACGCTAGACAGACAATGGAAAATCGAACTAATTATTTTTATGCTTGTATCATTTAATCTTTGTTAAGATGCAAGAAGGAAATCGGCTCAAAAGTGCAACTTATTTCTAGTACCGGTTTATATACAGCATGACTGCTTATCTTGTGAATATATGAGTCAATGAAAGATATAAAAAAAACGCTACTTAATGATCCTCTTACTTGTTTATCGTGTCTTTATTATTTTCATATGACGTCAGCAGAAATGCAGCAAAAAATGTACTTCTTGCGATTATAATTTTTGCCGTATTTATGTATCAAGATTAATAGAACCGAAGATTTTTCTTTTTTGTACGAAATATAAATATGTACAGTTGTAAGTTTCAAGTTTCGTGCTGTTACATCGAATTTATTGAGGTAAATGTGCGAAACTCGTGAAAACCACGCCTTAATCAAAATATATTTTGGACGCGTGCCCCGTTATAGAAATATGTACGATTGATTGCAGAAACGAATATCATAATTGATAAATTATGAGACAGAGACAGATGTGCCGAGGCACGCAACTGAACAATGTAAATCACCGTTTTAATCGCGAAGTTATGCTATCCTTTGTGAAACATATCCACAAGTAAATTCAGAGACCGACTAGCGATTTCTGTGTTTTATATAGTTAGCTGAAGGTAGAAACACACTTGGAAACGTGTGGCTCTCTCGTTGAAAAGGTCTGAGCATCGAACGAGACGTAAAAAAAAAAAAGAAAAAGAAAAAAAAGAAAAAAAGAACGCTATTGCACTTTGTCGAGCGGGCATCTCTGTTGTTACAGTCTATATTCTCTCTTTCTCTTCGAATTAAACTATATAATAATAATAATAATAATAATAATAATAATAATAATCTCTTGGCATTATCACGTTAGGCATCCGTCCGTACAGCGGGCACTTCTCGATGTAAGGGAACTATTATAGAAAATTATAAAGAGAAGAGCGTGTGCGAAAAATCCCGATGCGATGATCACTTTGGGGATGCGTTGGAGAACATCGCTTTGTAGCGAATCTCGTCCGAGTTTCGAGCCGAACTCGAAAAGAATCTCGGCATTTAGATTTTAGAACGTAAGCTTTTCTTTTTTTTGGGAAAAGAACTTAGAAGGAGCAATCGGGATTATCGGTGCAAATTATTCGGAAAGGAGATTAGACTTCGCAATTTTTACTTCGTCCCATGTTCTCGATCGCAGCCCTAAACCTCGACCTAACGACGGACGCTATTTCACGACGGCCGAATAGAATAGCTTTACTTGGTGCGAGTAAAGCGCATAGGTGAATGACGTTTATGATTACCGCTGATCGATACCGTTAATTATACGCTTCTCCAAGTACCTTCTCGGTACCGCTAACTCCACCAAACTATTATTGGTGTCTTTCATTGTGTAAATTGACTTCTGAAGTGCCTTGGATGACATGATGATGGTACATTACCATACGTGCCATTGGTGAAAAACTTTCGTAGGTGCTTATCACAGGACGTGTTCGTGTAATATATCCGTTTGCGTTGCGCGAGATAATAGTTTCTTTAATCATAGACTCATAGAGATGTGCTGAGGTGCTCAAGGTCACTCGACGTACTTGTAAGAAATCTACGTACAGCGAGTTCCACGATGCTCTCCTCGCATGGAGAATTGGATCGAAGTTCTCGTGAACACGCTACGTACGTATTTTTCTCATTGGTACGGTAGATTGCTAGAGGGCTAGAATGTGTTACTTTAACTGTACAGTAATTTACAGTAACGGTTAAACACACCCCTGCGTTCCTTTCTATTCGATTCCAAATCTGCTGAAGCGCTTCGCGTGTAATCAACATCATGTCATCTAATAAGAAAGATTCGCTAGGAAACATTCGTTTTATCGCTGTAATAAAACGCGCGTGTTGTGATGGCTCTGCGATGAAAATTTTAAAGAAGAATAGCCGGGAGGGAAGGAAGAGGAAAAAAAAGGAAAAAAAAAAACAAAAAGAAAACGAGTGAGAGAGATCTGAAAATGGAGCTTTAGCCTGTATTCAAAGTACCGTGCCACGTGAACAAACACATATCGGCAGGAATACTGTAAATGTGATGTAAAGATAAGCTGATTCTAAGTAGAGAACGAGAACGAGTTGTTGTAGTGAGGTA